GAAGAGCTTGCGTCCGGTGGGGATGCGCACGGGAATGTGAAGTGCCGTTCTCATGGAAGACGGGTGCCTTGCCTGAAGCCGCCGACTTGCTGCTGCGACGGCTCGACGGCTGGTCCGAGTCCGAGTTGCTGTCGGGCTGGCCCTCGCTGGAGTAGCCAGAGGTCCGCGGCGCGACGGGTTCGTGGCGCGGATCTGCCACTGGGTCTTCTCGAGATCATCCGAGAAGAGTGATACAGATGTCGAGTAGCTCAGCTGGGGCAGCGCCGCGTAGCTGTGGCGAGCGTCGCCCATGTTGGGCAGGCTGGAGATGGGCGCAGCGCTGAACCATGTTGCCGCGTGGACCTTGGCCGAGACGTGGCTGGCGTTGGGAGGCACAATCTCGGGCGACGTGGGCTCGAAAGTAAGGTTCACTGTGACGGATGTCTCCGAGGCAGTACGGCCGTCGGCACCGAGGCGGATGGCTGGAGGCTGAATGGCATTGGCGATGATGCGGCCCTGCTTGGCCGTGAAAATGTTCTTTCGAAGCGTCTTGGCCTTGGTGAGGCGATAGCCCTTGTCCTCAGACGTGATGTTCAGAGGGGGGTCCTCCGGGGAGATGGGGAGCACGTTGATGTGGTAGTGATCCTCCATCACCTTGATCGGACGGCCGCCAAGCTCAGGCATCTCGGCGACGCGGGCCTTGACCATGTACTCGACGCGCGCCATCTGGGGCGACATGTCGTCCCTTGCCCCAGGCACCCATCGAGGCGGGCAGACGCATGTGCTGGTCATAGACGGCATCCGACTGCTTCGGGTGGTTGCAGGCGCTCAAGGTCAGATGGTGAGGAATGACGAAGTTGAAGGGAATGCTGTACTTGTGGCCAGCCTCGAAGACGCGGGGCACGGGGTAGGCCGAGGCGGGAATGGGCATGTTGAGCTTGAGGAAGGTGTGCGAGGAGTGCTGGGCGATCTGCGCAGCGTCGAGGCGGGTGCGCGAGTGGCCGATGAGAACGATGGAGACAAAGTCGAAACGGGTGTCCTTCCAGGGGGTGATGGTGACCTCGCCGGCCACCGGGGAGCCGGAAGAGTAGACCTTGGAGTTGTAGTGGTTGTCCAGCTTGATCTCGATGCTGGGGCCCTTGGGGATGGGAGGGCGGGCGAAAGAGCCGAAGACAGAGCTGATGTCGCTGACGGAGGACATGTTGGCGGTGTTGGTGACAATGGTCTAAGTGACGGAATAAGTGGAGGGAGGGCTTGGTTCTCTCAGATGCCTTGGACCACGATGAGACCCCTTTTCAGTTCAGTCAAGGGGTGTCAGTGAGATGAGTAGGCAACGGGCAGCAGTCGATGGGACTGGAGCAGGCTGTTGATGGTGTGGGAGAGCCTGTCTAGACGATCTAGTAGGCTTCCCAAGTGGTGCTCTTTATGGAAGTGGTAGCTGTTGTGGTTGGTGATGCTGTGATGGGCAGGGCGTCATGAGGGGTTGATGACAAGGTCGACTTGATGACAATGCAAGAGATGATTTGAAAGCAAGTGAAGACGTGCTTGCCTGAGAGAAGGAGGATAATGGCTGCCGACCCATGATCGACGGACGGGAAGGAGGAGAAGCTTCTTTAACTACCTTTCGATGGCGCCCCATGGGTGTCATGGCTCATGGGTGTCATGGCTTGGTTGGGGGCATGGACGAGCTGCCGTGGGCCATGGCCAAGGGGCACCGAGTACTGAGGACCGAGTACTGGCAGGGCGTGTCGTCTGGCGGGCCGGGGGCTGGACGCACACCTGGTCGGTACCTGTACATGGCAGGAGTACCTCCGCCATCTTCTTGGGCCTGCCCTTCGCACTTGCACAGACCCGGCTCGAAGTGGATGTGGATGGGTAGGAGCGATCGAGTGGGTGGGTGATGAGGGATGGGCTTGGCCCTGGGATGAGATGGAGGTGGAGCTGCCGTGGTGCATTGCCAGTGTGTTGCATGTCCAGCACGCCCTGCGCCTGTGACTCGTTCCGGAGGGTGGGTCTCACGTCCCCACCTTGTCTTCGCTTGTACTGCGAGTGGAGACGCCGACCTCCGGACCTTGGACCGTCCACGCCAATTCAATTCAATCTCTGGGAGGTCAAAAGGTAGGTAAGGTACTTGGGTACCTAGGTAGGTAGGGTTGACACTTCCTCACAGCGCGCGGGGGCGCTGTGACTGTGCTGAAAGCGCCCTCCAACTAGTATCCGCTGGAGCTGCCTCCTGATCCTGCTTGGCTCTCGTCGCCCTGATGGGTCGGTCTCACAAATCGATGCTGCCCCTCTGTCTGGACTTGGACCTCCACCGCGAGCAGCAGAAGCTCACCGGAGCGCATTGTCTGTGGATTGACTGACCAACAAACGAACCATGTTCTTCCACAGCGGCACGGAGCCCGTCTCCTTCATCCACGTTGGTTCCATTATTAGGCAGGCCCTGTCGGTGAGCTACCGTCGAAAGGCGTACGCCACGTTCAATGGCAGCCAGCACTCAAGGCTAGCGCCATCTTGTCATCACAAGGCGTGAGAAACCCACATTCATCTTGTCGCATTTGCTCATCCACCTTGAGGACCACGAACCTGGTCACACCAGCGGCAAGTTTCTGACTCTTACACTTCACTGTGAAGGGTGGCCCCTGACTTGGGTTTGACCGGCTCACGACGGCACGATGAAGAGCCCTCGACTTCTGACGGGTGCTCGCGCACGCGCACGTCTTACGATCCTCACTCAGGTGGGGATGGATGGATCCAACGTCATGACGGAATTTGTGCTACAGGCCCACTTGGCGGAAGCCGTCGCCAGATGCCAGGATTGTGTGTGACATCAGCTGGCCACGTCTGTTCATTGAGGGACCCCCAGTGGCCATGCACGTCCATTGGTGCTGTTTGGCCAGGCTGGGCAGCGAGTGAGTGACTGAGTGACTGACTGATTGCAGATCGAAACAGCCAACAGGAGACCGTCCCGACAGCACACACCGAGCGCAGCAGACAACGGCACCGAAAGCCGACCTTGCCTCTTGCAACCCTTTCCTCTTCCTGCAGTGCTTTTTGCGTTGGTACAAGTCATCGACAACCCCAAGCAACAACTCCAGGCACACATGGCCCAAAACAGCAGTGAACCACCACCATCCATTCCCCCAGCAAAACATGCATCTCCGCGCTGTCGCAAGCTCTCGATGACACCGACACCAATTTCAACGAGCAATCCAGCCAAGGTAGAGCAAGTATCTCTACTTTGCGAGAGACGGTGAAACTGCCCCTCCCTTCCGCCATCGATGGTCCCCGAAGGACCACCTCGTGCCCGGCTGCGCCTAACGTACACGGTTCTCGTGTCTAATGGTATCCATCCGGCCACACGGCGCCTTGCCGTTAAGTGATGCGCGCGGACCTGGGCGGGTTGGGTGGGGATCCATCTGCTCGGGTCGCCTTAACGTACACGGTCCGCCGACGGGGCCACGTCGGCTTCCCGCGTGCGCCTAACGTACACTGTCGAGGGGGGTCCTTTAAGCGCTGTGGCTAGTGGTGTTCAGGGCCCCTGGGAAAATTTTCACCCTTTTTTCCGCTCCGGCCAGCCACCCGCCGGCACCACCACACGGGGTCGCACGGGGGGAGGGGGGTCGCCAGGGGGGGGGGCAACCATCGTCGGCCTCGCCCGGTTTCTACGTAAGGGGAAGTCATGTCTAATGAGATCCATCCGCCTGCGGGGCCCTAGAAAACCACGATGCGCCAGTGCTTTTACTGCAAGATTCTGTCTCGGGTGGCCATTGGCCGAACAAAGGGCACGTTTGAAGAAAATTTTCTTTCTCTCACTCGCTTGTTTTATTATTTACAATATCTAGCCTTTTTATCACGATACTGCGCTCAATGTGCCATGCTGCACGATGCATTCTGAGGAGCCTCCACCTGTTTACTGTAGCATGCCCTCAAACGATGGCATGGGCCGCCGTGTTTCGTGGACCCTACCATGTCAGGCGGGTTCCTTTACCTCATTCTCGTCCAGAATGATGCTACCCAGTCAAACAGCCACGATGTCACACTGCGCGATGCTTCGCGATGCGCACCACACGCCACGCCAAGCGCCCTCGCCCGACATGCTCGGCGCTGCGCACGTCTTCTCGGGCCATGACAAGGGGGGAACCGCACTTGCGGCTCTCCATCTTGAGCCGTGCATCAAGGTAATGGTGTCGTGAGAAGCCTTTATTCCCGGTTTTCTGCTTTTGTGTGCAGTAGAACGATCGTGGAAGCATCGCGCAGCGGAAGCAAGCGGGTCTTCTTAGACTGCCTGTGTCTCCATTTTGAGCCGCGCGCCGTGGATCCCCTTACGACATTGGGTGGCCAGACCGGCTGCATGTTTGGATCAAACGGGGGTCTCAAGCTTTGCTGGTGTGGGCATGTAGCCTTGAATGTTCGAGAAAAATTCTGGATCGTCATCCCTGGGAAGTTTTTTTTTTTTCTGCACTTTGGATTTTCTCGTCAGACTGTTCCCCATGTTTGGAGGTTCAGAGACAGGTACTTGAGGGGCGCCCACTTTCAGCCGACGGGAGACCAAGCCTTGGTGCCATTGACGCCTACTTTCAAAGCCGATGGGCACTTCAACCCTTCAACCTGCACGAATGGCCCAATAGCTCTTCGGTCTACCTGTACGTAGTGCCAGTTGCCGCCGATCAGGAGTAAGTGCCAGCTGCTGTACTACCCTGCTGAACTGCCGGCGCCAGAGCCTGCTGCACCACGCCTACGCGTCTACGTGTAAGGCAAGGCAGTTGCCCACCACGATACCCAGGTACCTAGTGTGAGCCAGCGGCGCCAGATGGCTTCGACGGCTTGACGGCGCTCTGAAAGCATCACCATCCCACCCACTCCGTTTGCTTCAGTAGCCTCAAGCCACAAGAGAGCACCATGGCAAGGAACATGCTCATCTCCGCTGAAACTCCGTCCTACCATCCCGCGTACCCGCCTCTTTCCCCCCAGAACCAACCCCATATTCCACTCAAAGCAGATCGAGGAAGCGAAAATGGGGAGTATTGTCAAATGCGCCTTTCCCTAGGTAGGTGCGTGTTCGACAACCCACCCCCACGACGTCCGACCCTCGGAGCGCCGACATCGGCAGGGAGCCTGTTGTTGTCTAGCACCATCAGTAGTTGTCAATCACGCTGGGCAGAAGAAAGACTCGTCACAGGGCGTGCTTCGGAAGGGGTCACGGATTCCAAGGCGCGCCCAGGCGGGAGAGCGACAGCGCTGGGCCAGTCTTGTCACCTGGCCCAAGCGTCCGCCCTTCGGACGACATGTCAACATGATGGGGGCTTGTCCGACTGGGTCAGCTCAGGCCAGCTGAGTCTCGACATGGTGTCATCGAGGCTGCTAAAACACCAACCCCCAAAACAGCCGCCTCGCTGGATTATTCACGCGAGCAGATTGGTAATCCTGCCCTCCAAGTCCCCGTTTCGCGCCTTTTGATCTCGCTTTTGGCCCTCTCGCTCAGTGACTCAACGCAAGCCACAGTGTCTAGCCTGTGGTGTTTTCCCTTTCTCCCCCCTCCCCGCCTTGGGCGTCACGAGTGGGATGACGAAGCAGTAAGACGCCATTTGCGCCTCGCTCAGCTTCACGAATCTCCGTCCATACCGACTGTACACGCGACGAGGACGAGGGTAACACAACGTTGTAAGACTGATGCGTTGAAATGACACCCGGCAACGTGGGTCCGCTCTGCAGGGGACGGGAAGCCTTTTTCTTGCCGCGAGGTCTTCGAAGTACTGTTACTTTGTCAGATGCCTACGTCAAATGCAAGCTCTACACTTGTTTTCCGTCCCACGCGCTCTCCCCGTTTCACATGACGCCTCGTTGCTGTTTGACTTTGCTACGCGCATCAAATGATCGCTTAATCTGGACAGCGAGCGGCCATGGACTCACTCACTCTCCCGCTCTCCAGCGCTCTCCAGCTCCAAGCAACCCCCCCCCCTTTTAGCCTGATGCAAGCCACGAACAAGCCACGCATCAGAGAGCTGGACGACGGCGGGAAACGTTGCCGCAGCCGGCGTCGGCGGCCGCAACGGTTTCGGCGGCCGCTGAATGATTAGGTGAATATGATGGGTCTCTTTTCGGTTCGGCGTGACTCTATTCGACGCCTCTTTTTGGGAGGGGGACCAGTTGAGCTATGGCCTTTGCACAGGTGCATGTACAACTCTGTTCCCCAACTTTCGGGGCGCCGCGTGGCATCCCGAGGAGTGACGAGCGAGGGGGCCGGGCAGGGGGCAGGAAGGGTCCCTTGCCGCGAACCCGTCGCCTGGGTAAACAGGATGAACTTTTGAAAATTCGGTGCTGTATGCATGCACGCCAGAGGCATAATCCCTCCACAATCAATATTCGTCAGCACCCATCACTTTCGGGACCGTGAAGCGAGCGCTGCTAAGGCTTGTTCTTAGTTTCGTGTCGTTCACTTCGGCCGGCTGGTCGGCCAGTCTGTCTCAGCCCAGCCCTGCTCTTGAGGCCAGACTTCTTCTATGTTACTTTTTGTTCTACCACATGGAAATACATTCCCTGAAGGAACGAAATGCTTGTACTGTGAAAGTCAATCCGTGCCACTTGCCTCCGGCACTCTAGTCGTGCCACGAGATGAACAGCATGATGCCCGCTCCCAGAGCAATCGCTGCAAACTGCACTACCGTCTTCTTCAGCTCCTGGGCCTTGTTGGGACCCGTCTCCAGCAGCTCAGGAATTACAGCCACCGTGCCGACGTAGAGGAACGTGCCGGCCGTGAACGGCAGCAATAGGTCACCCCAGCTCTGTGAAGTCAAAAAGTCAGCCGCGGGTCGGTTCATACTCAAGGCGGGGCGACATATGCACGAGGGACAAAGAGGAAGCTCAATAGGGGTACCGTCGGACGTCTGTCTGCAACCGGCGCAAATAGGAAGCTGAGTGAATCGGATGCGCAGGAACAAGACAAGACAAGACTCTTGCGCCACGTCGGAGTGAAATAAGAACGAGCAAGAAAACAAATGAACCACTTACAAGGCTGGTGCCCCAGATACCGCCGTTTCGTCCCATCGGTCCGCCCTCGTCACCGGCTCCACCGCCGAGCTCCTGCACAGCAATCCCAATGAGGGTGCCCAGCAGCGCGCCGAGAGCCGTGACGAACTGCGCACCCATGGCGGCCCGCTTGCTGAAACCAGACTGCACGAGCAGCGCAAAGTCGCCGACCTCATGGGGGATCTCGTGGAAGAAGACGGCCACCGTCGTTGTGGCGCCAATAGTGGGCGATGCGTAGAAGCTGGCAGACATGGCAAGACCATCGGTGATGTTATGCGTGAAATCGGCACTATTCACGTCAGATGCCTTGACCCGCGCAAGAGAAGGTTTAGTGCACTTACATGAGGTTCAGGTACCCACCCAGCTTGACACTGGCACTAATCTCCTTCTCAGCGGGCTTTACAACGGCAACCTCGCCCTTCTTGGCCTTGCGGTTCTTGGCCTTGCCGTCCGCCTTGTCGAGCGCGGAGCTAACGACCTCGGCGGCAACCTCTTGGGCCTCGCCGTGCGAGTGTCCGTGGCCATGGTCGTGTCCGGCGCCGCCGGTTGCGATCCGAAGGCCCTTATCCATGGCGACAAAGGTCATGAAGCCCACAAGAATGGCGACACCGAGAAGAGGTTACGCTTGGGCTCGACCAGCACAAAGCGCGTCTTATCGGGCTCGTCCTCACCGAGGAAGATCTCGGGTAGCAGATGGAAGAGAGTATCGCCAAGGAGACCGCCGACGGCAAAGGCAACCATGACAGAGAGCGAAGCCGGGTCGATATCGGGAGGGCAGAGGGCCAGCAGCAGGTTCGGGGGGCCAGAGATATAGAGGGTTGCAAGGAGGGCATTGATGGCGGGGCGCTCAGCGGGGAAGAGCACAGCGAAGGCGCGAGAAAGGAAGGACGACGTCTGCGAGGAAAAGTGCGTGGCCTTTGCGCCCGAGAGAGAGGCAACGATGGGGCATTGCTAGTCGCTGTGTTAGCTATCGTGTGCGAACCCGCCTCAAAATGGATTGAACTTGTGTTCAGGGGTAATATTGCAGTTGAAAGCAGAGGAGGGAGGCCTAGGGGGCATTTCCTACCTGAAGCTCACCGTCAAGCTCCTCGAGGCTCAGGTTCTCGAGGACTTGGGCATTGAAAAGAGGATCGCCCTTGTCGTAGGCCGACGAAGCAGCAGCGATGCCGGCGTGCAGCGCAAAGGCGAGGACCAAGCCACACAGGACTGGTTTGAGAGAACGGATAGCCATGGTATTGGCGATTCCGAAGGTCAGAGTTCCAAACGGGGAAGGAGAACAAGAACAGGCGTGACAGATGTGCCAGGCGAGGCTTGACTACAAGCGTCGATAGAAATGGTCAGAGTGCCTGAGTAGAGAACCAAAGGTCTCTGCTCTCGAAATACGAAGCTCGTCCGAGGAGTCGGGGGTGTGGTAGAGCCAGTCAACGCGACTTGACGGACGATCGCGGTATCGTGTCCACTTGGCCATCAACTTTCAAGAAAGCACGGGCCAGATCAGACAATCAGATAGGGCAGGAGCGGTGGGCGGTGGGGGCGGATCGCGGGGAAACACCGGCCAAGTCTCGTAGACCGATAAGCCGACCCCCCACCGGCGGCCATTGCCCAGGAAGGGGGCATCTTGCGGGTGACTTCCCAATGTTGATGAAATTGAAGCTTTTGGCGATGCTGAAACAGCAGAGGCAACCAGAGGTGTGAATGTTTACTCCCCAACCAAGAGGAACACACTTGAACTTCTGCAACTGGCCAGTAAGAGGGGTCCGCCAGCCTGTTATACTACCCCTCTAGGCACGGAGAGAACCCGGACGTCCCAATTAGGGGCCCACTACCATACAAGTCTATCACATAGACAGGTGGCTACTGCCAAGTGTATGGGCTGAAGACAATCCTCGTCGTAGCCTCGCTCGGCCGGGGACCATGATGGCCATCCCGCAGCGTCAGGAAGACACCTCTGACGACTCACCGTCCCCTCCCAACATCTCCTTCAGCTCCTCCCCTTCGCCACTGTGGTAGACCATGTCATAGAACACCCCTGCCCTCGCATACAGTTCCTTCGGCCTGCCCACCTCGACAACCCTTCCTCCAGCCATGACGACGACCGTGTCATAATCAATGATCGTTCTGAGCCGGTGCGCTATCGTCACGAGTGTCCTATCTCCGCCCGCTTCATCGAGCTCCCTGCGCAGCGCCTCTTGGATTCCCCTGTCCGTCTCGTAGTCCATGCTCGCCGTCGCCTCGTCCAGAAGCATCAGCCTGCTCTTGCGGACTAGCGCCCTGCATAGCGAGAGCACCTGCCGCTGGCCGTGCGAGAAGTTCTCCCCTTTGGCGGTAACCTGCGTCGAGAGCGCAATGCCGGCCGTCGGTGCATTTCCGTCTGCGCCGAGAGCGCCATTGGCCTGGTTCTGGAAGGAGGCAATGTCTCGACATGATTGGAGCGCCTTGGCCAGGGTGTCCTCTTCCACGTTGCCGGTCGGGTCGAGGTTCGACTCTACGGTGCCGTTGAAGAGCACTGCCTCCTGTGGGATGATAGTGAGGGCTTCGCGCAGCCTACGGCGCGGCGTCTTCGTGATGTCAATGCCGTCGTAAAGAATTTCACCCGATACGATGTGCGTGAACCGCAGCAGCGACAGGACCAACTGCGACAGTCAGTCTCGAATCACGCGAGGGATGTTGCTGGATCTTACCGTGCTCTTCCCGGAGCCTGTCCTCCCAACAATGGCCACCCTCTCTCCGGCGTTGAACTTCAAATTAACATTGGTCAAAATGTTAGGTCCTTCGGGGTCATATCGTATCGTCACGTTGCGAAACTCAATCTTGCCCGTCGCAGGCCAGTGCCGGGGAATGACATGCTCATCGTCATCCGCGAACTGGCCCTCTTCAGCGTACGACTTGTCCGACTTTTCCTCTGGCTCAAGCCCAGCATACTCGCGTACCCTAGCAAACTAAAAAGAAGTCAGCTAACGTTCCATGCTGGAGAACAGGACAAACTGACACTCTGCATCTCGACCTCGAGGTCGTTCATGCTGCGCACAAGGTGCAAGATGGTCTGACTCAAACCCGTTGCGTTGGTCAATGAAAAGCCTACCAGGCCAGCCGCCACGATCCCCGCCTTTGACACAGCAATGATGCCCGCCGTGAGGCCCACGAGCGCCGTGATTACGTCCACTCGCATCGCGACCCACCGGTTACAGTTGTAATTGGCTTCTGCGGCGCGCGACCATGTCCGCAGTCTCTCAGCCAACGCCTCGCTGAACACATCACCCATGCCGTCGCGTGCCCGAATGACAGCGAGACCCGCCAGCGTGTCGGAAAACTGCGTGAAGACGGGGCTTTGCGCCGACGCAACCAGGCGTTTGATGGTCACAGCCGTGCGCGTGTACATCTCGCCGACAACAACGCCGATGGCGCATGTCGCGGCTGCAGGTAGCATGAAGACAGGCAGAATAGAGCTGATGGCGCCAAGACGAAAGAGAATGCTCATGCCGCAGTCAAGGAAGTTGCGAAGCTGCGAGCAGATGGTCGAGTCGACAGAGTACATGTCGCGCGAGAAGCGGTTGATGATGCGGCCGACCGGCACGTCTTTATACCACGATAAGGACACGCGCATGACGGCACGGATGAAGTCGCGGTGCAGCTTCTTTGCGGCATGCCACGCACCATTCTCAAACACAAGAACCATGAGGGCGTAGCTTATCGTCTCGGCAAAAGTGAAGGCGGCATAGATGCCAAGATAAAAGGTAATGTCGACAGCCTCCTGTTTGGAATAAGCCTCGACCCAGATGGACAACCACAGCGAACTACCGAGCCAAGCCATGTTCATGAAAAGCATAACCAGAAGGCACACGACCGCGTAGAATGGGCTGCCAAAGCACGTCATGTACTTGAAGACTGAGTACCGATTAGCAGGGTGCATTTCTTGTCAAAACACTGTCGACACTTACACATGAGACGGGCACTCTTGCCGCTAGCCTTCATCTCTTGGGCTACCAGATTCTTTCCAGTTGGGTCATCTGCGGTCTTGTTCCTGTCGTTCAAAGCATCACTCTCGGCCTCAAGTTCTGGCTCCCCCGGATTGCTCCCCCCCGCAACCTCTTGCGAAGCCACCACAGGCTGCCTGACAATGCCAAGATTTTGCTCCGTGCTGACGACCTCACCCTTATCCAGGGTGATGGCCAAATCAGACTGAGCTGCCACCCAAGGCTGTTGAGCCACGAGGACAGTCGTTCTTCCGTCGAGCATGTCGGAGCAGAAACAACGCTCCCAAAGCAGGGCCGACGTCTTAGCGTCTAGCGCAGAGAAGATATCGTCAAGCAGCAGAAGGGGAGCCTTGGAGTAGAGAGCCCTCGCCAAGGCGACTCTTGCCTTCTGGCCACCGGACAAGGATGCACCGTTCTCGCCCACGACCGTCTTGTTGCCGTTGTCCATCTGGCTCAAGTCGAAAGACAGACAGCAGTG